TGATACGAGCAAAAACACATTGTTTACTTGGCTTAAGGTTCCTACTTATCATTACTCCTAAATCTCTCTCGCAGTCGGATTTCTCTATGGCATCGTTGTTCATCTGGTATCTGGTTTCCCTGTTTACATCTCCTATACTGAGTACTTTACATTTGTCCACGTTGAATTTCATCTGCCATTTTTCAGACCATTCGAAAAATTTGTTTAGATCTTCCTGTAGTTTTGCGGAGTCCTCGTCAGATTTAATAACACGTCCTATTTTAGTGTCATCAGCAAATTTGCTTATGTTGCTGTCTATGCCGATATCTATGTCGTTTATGTATATAATAAATAATAATGGTCCAAGTACTGAGCCTTGGGGAACTCCACTTGTGACGTTGCTCCAATGGGACTTAGTGCCATTAATGCTCACTCGCTGTTTCCTGTCCTGTAACCACGCCCTAATCCATTTAAGGATATTACCTTTGATGCCATGTGCTTCTACCTTTCTAATTAGTCTTTCGTGGGGGACTCTGTCGAAGGCTTTGCTAAAGTCGAGATATGCCACATCATAATTGTGCCCCTCGTCCACCGATTCGAAAACTGATGAAAAGAATGTTAATAGATTAGTTAGACAAGAACGTCCGCTTGTGAAGCCATGCTGGGAATCATTGATCAATCCGTGCTTCTCCAGGTGATTTCGAATAGAGTTTGAAATGATTGCTTCCAGTAATTTGCCTACTATTGATGTTAGACTGATTGGGCGGTAGTTAGAGGATAGTGATCTATCCCCCTTCTTGAAAATCGGTATTACATTCGCTATCCTCCAGGATTCTGGTACTACACCTGTTTTTAAGGACATGTTAAACAACTTTGCTAAGGGCATACTAAGCTCTTCCTTACATTCCTTTAATACTCTGGCAAATATCTCATCGGGACCAGGTGACTTATTAGGCTTTAGTTTGTCTATTTGCTTACTAACATCGTTACTAGTCACTACTATCTCGCTTAATTTGTTTTCTTCACTATCTCTGAATAGAGTTGGTGCCCCGGGTATCATGTTTAAATTTTCGGTGGTGAAAACTATTGAAAAATATTTATTCAAATTATTGCTCATTTCTCTGTCGTTATCAGTGAGCTCGCCGGTATCTGACCGTATTGGTGCAACCTTTTCTCGTGTTTTAGTTTGATACATTTGGTAGAATCCTTTGGGGTTTGTCTTCGCCTCCCTTGCTATCCTTACCTCATTATTCCTCTTGGCTTTCCTTATCTCGGTTTTAACCCTACTCGCCAATACCCTATAATAATCCCGGAGGTAAATTTCGCCACGATTTATCCTTCTACCTGTAGCCTTCCTTTGGCCAATGATGTTCTTTAAATAATTATTTATCCACATAGGGTCATTGTTGTCTGATCTGAGTTTTTTGTATGGTATGTTCTGCCTTTGTGCATTATGTAACTCATTATTTAAATTGTCGTGGAACACGGCAATCTCAGATCTCGTTATCAGGTCGGTGTCATCTGTCAGGTTCACTGCCAAGCGCGACACCCCCTCTCTCAGCTGCCTCTTTAAACTGTCAAAGTTTGCCCTTCTGAAATCTGGTACTTCAGTGGAATTTTCCTTATGTCTGCCCTGAAAATCTAACTGGAATCAAATTTCTTTGTGATCGCTGTTTGCAAGTTCGTTCCCTACCTCGACATTGTTAATGAGGTTTTCTCTGTTTGACAGAACTAAATCGAGTATATTATTACCCCGTGTGGGTTCGGTTATATGTTGACTTAGAAAACAGTCCTGGATCGTCTCGAGAAAATCCTCTGATTCTGAGTTACCCGTAAGGTCAGTCCAATCTATTTGGCCAAGGTTGAAGTCGCCTACTATACAGACTTTGTTGTGTATGGAAGCCCTGCGCATTTCATCCCAGATAAGTCGCTCATTGACTCTATCAAGATTGGAAGGTCTATATATTACTCCTGTGATTAATTTTTCCCTACCGTCGATTAATTCTATCCAAATTGTTTCTGTATTCCGCTCGGTTTTTATTTCCTTATTTATTTCACACTTCAGATTATCCCTAACATAGATTGCTACTCCGCCTCCTTTCCTGGTCTGCCTATCGGTATGGAACAGTTTGTAACCCGCAATTTGGTATTCGACCGGTAACTCACGTGAGTCTAGGTTGATCCATGTTTCAGTGAATACTATTATATCGATTTTTTCGGTACATACCAAGGCCCTAATATCATCCATTTTGTTTCTCATACTTCTACTGTTCGCGTAGTAGACATTTAAGTTAGTAGTGTTCTGAGTCCCCCCCTTACCGTGGAGGCTCCCTGATGTCTGGCAGAGTGAGTGCACGTCGAACATCGCTCTCCACACCATTCATGATTGTTTCGCTTCTTTTTTATCCTAATCAGCGATGGAAATCCTACACCTCTCACAGACACGTCTATGAAAAGGGGATACTGACTTGAAGGGCTGACTGACTTACATTCTGGTACACTGGTAGGTGTACTTACCCCAAATTTCTTCAAGGCAAGATTAATAAAGTTATTTGCCACAGAATCAAACTTTTCACAGCTCCCTCACCGCTCTCCCCCCCCCCCCCCCCCACCTCCTTTTAAGAACCACTGGTCTAAAAAGCTGCCGTTATTATTCATGTGTGATATAGTGTGATAATACACGACGATAACATGCATTTTAAATTCTAGATATTATAGTGAGACCAAATGTTAACTGGTTAAGTATATTGTAACCAGGGTATTATCTTGTATCACTAATTAACTAAGAAATTGTGGCTTGTTTCTCCTCGTTTTATATTCATTAATGTGTTTACGATATACTTTAATATACGGCGAGCTGCTCATAGTACACTTACCAGAGACGATTGATGGTTTGTTACAATGAAGTTAGTGTTGAAGGCTTGTGTGTCATCAGCCCTCAACTCCTGAAGGTAGTAGTCATATCCTATTACTACTAATACTACTACTTATACTACTACCACCACTACTTATACTACTACCACCACTACTTATACTACTACCACCGCACATTGTAGGTGAGGGTGTGAGGGAGCGGGTGTTGATACTCTCGGACAGGTCTTGAAGCACACATCTGATCCAACCACACCCTAGACCACACCTTTCATCAGGGGAGAAATGACGTACACGTTGTACATCAAAATAATGAAACCTGATTAGTGTGATACATTATGTGATTACATATTATAAAGTAAAAAAAAAAACTCACCTGAATCTGTTAAATTATGATAGTTCTAACTTACGTAAATATTACAAAGTATTACAAAGACATTTACATTAATTTACAGCACTCTCATTATTTCTTAAGCGAAGGAGCTGCGGGTCCGGGGTATAAGAGGTGTTCCAGATGTGGCCAGAACGCTACCTTAGATATCTTTTATAAGAGCCGATAGCCACTACCACCTTCCCTGTGACCAGCTAGGGAATGGCCTGACAGCAAGAGACTTCAGTAGAGGAAGCTGTAATATGTTGTGTAGAGGTAATAATGGTACAGTACAAGGCGGTAATAATCAGTGGACTTGTTGGAACATCGATGATGGGTGTTTTTTGTTTTTATCTGTAGAAATAAGATTTAGTGGAACACACTATAGGAAACTTAGGACTTAGTTATTGATGTATACAGTATATACAATATTCGTGTGTGCTGTTAATGATAATTTCTTTTCAAAATATGAAAGAGTGCACAGCCACTTTTTAAAAATTAATACTGAAAAACAGGACCTCCAACAGGAAGCGTCCGATACTCCCAGTGGGTACACGAGGCACTGGTGCTGGACAATGACCGAGGTACAAGATGTTAAGAGCGGCCATTAGGGACAGTGTGAATAGAGCACATTGTATACTATATTGAGCCTCAGGTACGCTAGGATGCAACGTGGCCGGCACTGCACTCAACCGCCTCCACTTCCCAGCCGTAAAGTTAAGTACCTATTTACAGCTGGGTGGACTGCGAGTGCCCTGGGATTGAAACCATCGATCCTTTAGACAGGAAGAGAACGTTGTACTCCCTGTCAACCGCACCACTTGTCATGGAGACCCGGGTTTACAGTGACAGTACATGCTGAAGACAGCAGTAGCTGGACAAAAGGGCTGAACCAGTCTTGTGAGGACACCTTTTATGTGATAGTTGGACTCTGACGTGATGACGAAGTAAAACAGGAAATACGTAATCATTAAGATGTCTGATAAGATGTGCGAGAATAACACGTGCAAGTGTAGGTACTGATCAATAAAGCTTCACTATAAACGTTTTTAGTGACTGTTCATCTTAGTGTTTGGAAGGTCGTTGTGATAAACCCAATGGTACTGCTTACATTTACCATTTTGTTCGGTAATATTTAAATAACTTGCTTAATAATGCAAACCTGACTGCTAAGGATAATTAGATTTGGTTCTGGCAGTGAAAACTAAAATCTTGAATTAACTAAATGAAGCAAAATGAATGAAGGACAGACAATGATAGTTATCAACAGTTTCTCATCACTTGAAATATTAACTGAAAATATGTGTAAACATTTTGAGTGTCTTCGCTATCCAATCACTCAAAATGACCAGCGCTGTGCGAGTCATGCCACCAGCTGAATTCTTACTACAACTGAGCTACACCAGCTGGGGTCTCGCTGCACGTGTGAACTACTCGCAATTTTTAATTCTCCAAACTAGAGGGTCAGTACAGGACGGCGCAAAATTCACACCATAGGTATTTGTAGTGATGACAATGACACCAATTAAATTGCAAAAATGCTTCGAATTCCTGGCCACTTCGTAGCACTTTACGAATGTACTGCATTACTGTAATTATTCAGAGATCATCTTTGGGTTATCCTCTTTCAAACCTCTGTGACGTCATCAAGTGTTCTACCTCGACAAATAAGGCCAGGGTGTGACGTCATGTCTGAGCCCGCCGTCTGGGGTCCATTTTGTGAAATTTCTTATGAGCTTTGTTTTATGAGAACATTTCCTTCGGGATTTTATTAGTACCCATGATAACAGACGGTGCAATGGCCGAGTGGATACAGTGGTCGTCTTCTGTTCTAATGGTCACTGGTTCGCACCCAGTTCACCCAGGTGTGAATGGGTACCTTAAATATACAATTAGAGAATTGAAGGCGATTTAGTACAGTGCCAGTCACGCTGCTCCTTTGTGTACCGAAGGCTTTGTATACAGTGCGTTGTATCCCACTTTCACCGTCACCTACAATAACATAAAGAAAAACAACAACAAATGTACACCTTGCTTAACTTGTGCCAGTAATTGATAAGACTACTAGACAAGCACTGGGGAATAACCCTGATGGAGCAGTGTTTGGAGCCAAGCCTCACCGGGTAAACACGGACCTGGAGTAAACGTTTCATCAAGTGTAGTAGATGTTTATAGACGGTTTTAAGAGAGGTAAATATACAGCTGTTGATGATGATAATTGTGAGGGTGTACTGTATTAAGTGGTGGGTGGGTGGGTGGGTGACTAAATTAAAGCCTCTTCATCTGTGTGTGTGTTGGGTGATGGTGGTGAAGGTAATGTTGGAGATGATGGTTAAGGTAATGTTGGAGATGATGGTTAAGGTAATGTTGGAGATGATGGTGAAGGTAATGTTGGAGATGGTGGTGAAGGTATTGTTGGAGATGATGGTTAAGGTAATGTTGGAGATGATGGTTAAGGTAATGTTGGTGATGGTGGTGAAGGTATTGTTGGTGATGATGGTTAAATATGTTGAAATGATGGTGAAAATGTGTTGAAATATTGGTTAAATAATGTTGAAATGATGGTTAAGTGAAGAATTATGGTTAAAATGTTGAAATGGCAGTGAAAATAGTGTTGGAATGGCGGTGAATAGTGTTGAAGGTGTGGTGAAAATATTGTGGAATGTTGAAAATAGTGATGAATACAGGTATTGTTATCGGTTAGTGTGATGTGTGGGTTCAGTGTTGGAGAAGGTGACAAGTGTGTGTTCTGCTGTCACCTCAGATCAGTGGCTCGAGTCCTCAGGTGTGTTGAGCGATACATCTACTGTACCACCACACTACTGTACCACCACTACTGTCCACCACACTACTGCACCACTACTGTGCCACACCAGCCTGCTACTGTGCCACCACACTGCTGTACTACTGTACCACCACACTACTGTCCTACTGTACCACCACACTACTGTGCCACCACTACTGTACCACCACACTACTGTACTACTGCCACCACACTACTGTACCACACTACTGTACCACCACTGTACTACTGTGCCACCACACTGCCTGTGCACACTACTGTACCACCACTACTGTACAGCTGTACCACCACACTGTAC